TTTTTTTCCCCAGAACCGGGGATTGAACTCAGGCTCTTGCACTTGCCAGGGAAGCGCTTATTCCACTGAGCCATCTCCCCAGCCCTTCTTTTTGTTTTTTTGAGACAGGGTCTCACTATATAGTTCCAGTTGGCCTTGAGCTCACTTTTTGGCCTGGGCTAGCCTTGAACACACAGAAGTCCTCCTACCTCAGCCTTCTGAGTGCTGGCATTACAGACATGCACCACCACACCTGGCTCAACTTCTGGTTCAGTGGAATTAGTAATAAGATATTGGAGAGGGAGGAACTCACCCTTCACCAGCTGAGTCTGAGCCATCCCTCTCTAATCCCTTTCCCCTCCTTGAGCTCAGACACTGCTTTAGGAGTAGTCTATAAAACCCCAGACCAAAGCACATGCAAGGCCTTTCTTTCACTCTCGCTCTTGGACCCAAGAGCCTGAATTGCATGGCATATTCCTTTTTCTGTGATCTATTTCTCTGCTCAGGACCTTCAATAAATGTAACTACTTATCCCTCAACATACATAGGGTATAAGCTTTGCAGTTCATTGCTTGCCATACCTAAGAGCCTGGAATCTCTTCGCTGGATCCAGCAATCCACAAGTTCTGAAGAAACAGTTCCATATATTGTCAATTTAGAGCATGTGCAGCCTACTGCGTATGGGAAGCTTCTGTAAATGGAACTGGCCCTAGCCCAGCAAAGAGCATCTCAGTAACTAAAACTTACAAAGGTCACCCCACTGTCCTTCTAAGCCAGCTGCTTCAGGATGGTGGCTATTAATTTCATAAGCGTGACCTCAGCTCTGAACTTTTGGCTGTGAGTTGAGTTCTTCTGTCAGAAGCAATCCTAGGCAGGAAACCATGACAGTGAATAGGTATTCTGGAAGTGCGTGTTGGCAGTTTTGGCAGAAGTAATGCCTGTAGAAAAGGCCAATCAATCCCCGTTCAAAGTTTGCATCCAGGTAAGGACAAAACACTACCCCTTCCATGATGGAAATGTCCGTTGTAATCAGCTTGCCCCCAGGTAGCTGGCTGATCACCCTGGGGAATGGGACACAGTGGTGGTCTCATTCATTCATGGACTAGGCGCTCAGCAGTGGTCTCAGCTAGGATGGCCTCCATAGTGGAGTCCCATTTCCTAAGCTCAAGCATAATAACCTCATGAGTACTCTGCTCACAAGCCCCCTGGGCCATGACAAGGGGAGCTGGTGAAAGAGGCTGCCTGGTGTCACACACCGATCTACCCTTCCCATCAGTGGTTACAGCCCCCCTCCTCTGCGCTAACCCTTCATTGAGTGCATGTGGGCTGTCACTGTCTTCCCAGCCTTTGCCCACTCAGAGAGGCCTATCCACATACCTTGTCCCAGTTTATTTTGTCATTAATTTTCCTGTTGTGTACCTTCCGCGTCTCTGACTGGTCAACAAGTCAGTGCCCACAACCCATGAATCAGTATATGAGCGCAGATCTAAGTTTTCTGTTTGCAAACAAAGGGCACAACAAAATGTCCTGCCTGAAGTTCTACCCACTAAACGGATTTCTGTGCCCCGCTCTTCTTCAGGAATGTGCCAGAGACAGTGCTGCTTGAACCACCCAGTTACCAGCAACTTGTAAAGTAGAAATAGAATATTCATTAATTTTGAATGAATAGAATTATTCATTAATTTTAATGTTAAGCAATATAAATTTAAGATTTTCATTTCTCAAGGATTTTTTTTTTTTTTTCATTTCTCAAGGATTTTTTTTTTTTTTTTTTTTTGGTCTTTTTTGAGACAAGGTCTCGCTATCAAGTTCAGGATTGCCTTGAGTTCACTTTGCAGCCCAGACTGGTCTCAAACCCCCCACAATCCTCCTACCTCAGCTTCCAGAGTTCTGGGATTATAGGTACGTGGGTCACCATGCCCAGCTAAAGATTTATAGTGATAAAGTAGGACTACTTCTGTTTTGTTTGTTTGGTATCAGAGATTAGAACTCAGGACCTTGAGCTTGCCAGGAAGGCATTTATGCCATTGAGCTATCTTACTGGCTCCACTTCCCAAGGATTCTTCATCTCTTCTGTTTTCTAAGCACATGGTAGATTTCAGACTTCACTATTTTTAGAACTTCTCCGGCTAACTTTGATATTTTTCTTTTATTGCTTTTGTTGTCTTCCCACACCCTTCATAACTAATAACTTGGAGCATTCTTGTCACCCTATGAAAACTGGGACACTGCATCAATTTATTAAGCAAAAGTTCAAAGACAGATTACTGGGGTGCCCTAATTATACTGCCTATCCGGTCATTCAATAGAGTTGAAAATATTAATTGAGGAAAAGAATGAAAGGCAGCTCTTGAGCACTACAGCTTTAGATTCCAGTCCTCTGATGACCAAGAATGCTCTGGGAAAAAAATGTGACTTTCTGGATAACTGCTACTTTAGGAACTACCCATTATGTCTCCTTAATTGCCACCCCTAGAATTGCGGGAGACATGAGCAGCACCCATCTACCCACAGATTAACTTGAAGTCTTGAAGTTTGTCCTCAGTTCTGAAGCCCACCAATGGGTTCTTGTCTAGTAGCCACCCTCTTGATTTAGCAGTGACTTTAAGAAGTCTGGACATGCTTACATTTTACTAGTAATTTTTGCTCTTTTTGGTGGTTCTGGGAATCAAACTCAGGACCTTGCGCTTGCCAGGCAGGTACTGTGCCGTGGAGCTCTCTCTCCTTTATGAGCAATTGTAGGCACCAAGAGTAGGATTATTTTGTGAAACTGTCTTTTCTCATTTCTAACTTATATCTTATGCATAATTAATGCTCAATAAATATTGGCAGTATTAAAAAAAATAAATATTAGGGGTCAAGGAGATGGCTCAGTAGAATAAGCGCTTGCCTGGCAAGCTTAAGGTTCTGAGTTCAATCCCCAGTTTCGCTAAAAATAAATAAATAAATATATTGGGGATATTTGATGAATAATTTTCTCTCGAGTTCACCATAGCTTCTCTTATCTTATCTCTATACCTCAGATTTAAAACTAAGACATATTTCAGGGGGAGATGCTATAGACTAGCTCATGGGAGTAAATCTTTTTTTCCCCCAAACCACTGTATCCTAGGTTTTAGAAGCATCAGGACTTCCATGATTCACCTTGATACCATACTTTTCTGACAGCGCATCATAAAGATCAACTGCTTTTTTCAGGAGCAATTTGTTTTTGAATTGTAGTTATATAATCCTTTTAGCAAATAATATTAGGGCGTTAGTCATCTTTCTGTCGCTGTTCCGAAATACCTCAGATAAACAACTTAAAGAGGGAAAGATTTAACTTTGGCTCATGGTGTCAGGAGCTCTAACTTTTAGGCCTTCATCAAGGCAGAGACCTCCTGGTGAAAGGGTTTGATGGGAAAACT